AATTTAAATTAACGTATAAAATATTTTTTTATGATTATTTTTTAATTTAAATTAATGAAATAAATATTAAATATTTTTTAAATATATTTTTAAAAAAATTATAAACTTAATCTATACATTAAAATTTTTTTAATATAAATATTAAATTGTTAAAATTTAATATAAAATATGAATTATTGAATATAGTAATTTTACTTAAATTTATCCACTTGGTGCCGTTTTGGATGATAAATCTCAATCTTCTTGAGAATTTAGTAAGTAGTATAGAGGCAGCAACCTTTCCCTGGGCAATTTAGAAGATTCAAATATTGTAGGGTAACGCTATCCCCTTTAGTTATGCATTGGACCCATTCATATTTAATTTTGATACTGCCCTTTCTTGTAAGCATCATTGGCACTATTATGAGAAACAAAATATGCAATGGTGACCTTTCATCTGTCGGATTCGATCGGATATATGCATTATGATCAAGTGCTCAAGAGCCCCAATTTCACAAATCTAAATGTTTGCATTGACTTGTATCTTAATGATTCCAATGGCGATTTACATGAAGAAAAGAATAAGGCTATTTTCCTTTAACATTATTAGAACATAGGCCGGACAAACAACCTCATACATATACATATATAATATGTCCCACGCACATATATACAATTTCAGTTTTACGAAAATAAAAGGAATAAATTTAAGTAATATATTCAGCTGTATATAAATTATTAAAACTTAATGTCAAATGATCATTTAAGATAGTTACGCGACATTAAAGAAAATGGAAACGCGTCTAGTTTTGGATTTTTTTTTTTTTGTTATTCTTATATAAACTTACATTATTTTTAATTTGTTTTCCATTTTCAAATATTTGTGTAAGAAACAATGAAAACAATTTTTTTTTTTGTATACAAATATGATTTGACAACAAAAAAATAGATATTAAAAATAAGTCAATAATTTCATAATTAAATAAAAACACGAGGAAAAGGATCCTAAATATATATGAGTTAATCATCCATATACTGTCAGTGTAAAGTTTTTTAATTATTCAGACAATTTTTCAGCTTCCATTTTGGGAGGATACAACATTTTTCATAGATAATTAACTCAATATATATATTCCGTCTATTTATGTGAGAAAGTGCGATGATATCCATATCATATGACATATGATATAAGGTGACAGGACACGACACGTATAGTTAGCAAAGCAGGGTATTTTGGGGCAATCACATGTACTGGCCTTGACAAGCTATGCACTATTGAGGGTAAGGCTTATATGGTGGTAGTGGAAGCTTCACTGAACCTAGTGGGTCACTATGTTGCCTCATTCAACTCTAAGATTTAGCTTGACTTCTCTCAATCTCCCTCATCTTAAATAAATTCATGATTTGAACTTTTTAACATCAAAACTTGGCATGTTCATTCATGTTAAAAGCTCATAAGGTCATTGAGAAAAGAAAACTTAACTATGATTTTATAGATACATGGTTTCTCTTAGGTCAAGGGGATCACATATTTTCACGTGGGTTAAGTAGGGACATGAATTGCAGAGTGTAGTTAGGAACTCGCAATGGCAACAAAAATATACTACTTTTGGGAATTGGGAGGGCTTAATTTTCATATATTATAATTTATAGGTGCAGAGAATTTATTAGAATTCATTTTACATATTTTTTAAGTAATTATTATAAAAATTAATCATAGTATGTATGGTATATATTTTTTAATCATGTTGAATATTTTAACCCATTGAATCAAGTACTAATTTTTCTCGTAATATTAATTTAAGGATTTTTCAATATGATAAAATTCAGTACAAATTTTTTTGTTAAATAAATTGTCCTTACAAATTTATAATGTGTAATTGTAAGATGTTCAATCACTAAATCAATTGATTAGATTATTATATAATAATTTATGATTGGATCATAATATAAAAAATATTTACATCTTAGGTTCAAATATATCTTTAATTTCTTAAATATGAGATAAATTTATTTTTAGTTTTTTAAATTTAAAATTATTTTTTAATCCTTATAATTTGAAAAATAAAACTCATCTGTTATTAAACTTATTACACAAACAAAGTTCACTCACTAGTATTTTTTTATTAATGACAACATTATATTACATTTAACTAATGTTGTACAACTAACTTAGATAATATTGTACAACTATATAAATTTGTCATTATTAATAACATTATTCGTGTTGTTAGAGATTAAAATAATTTTTTTAAAAGTTTTAAGATTAAAAAGACAAATTTTAAATTAAAAAAAAATTACTCAAAGTTTGAGAACCGTAGATAACTTTAACCTTGCATTATAACTAAATTCTTTATATAATATGAAAATATAAACATGCATATATTTTAGTGATGAAGGAGGCGTCACCTCATGCAAAGCATAATACACTGATCCATGTGCAAGTGCGAGCTTGTACACAATGAAAAGTACCCAATTCGAGATCCATTATTTAGAAAAATCGCCTTTTGTCTTCTTGGACATGATGAGTCTAAGGTTCACACAAAAACAAAAGCCAAAGTTTCATTTGCTCAACAATATATTTCTATTCAAAAAGCTACCAATGAAGTTTTTGAGGAGACATTGTGTTATGTAGCTTGTAGAACCAATGAGTTCTTTAAATTTGCATTGCCAACCCCAAAGAAAAATTACTCACATTCACTCGTGTCCAAACTACAAATAGCATGGCCTTGGAATCACAAGTAGTTCTCCACTTTTCCTTAAAACACGAACATTCTCTTCAACTAGGCCACATACACGAATGTTTATAAGATACTATCTCAAACCAAGTAGATTCAAACCCACCCCTGAACCCAATATAGGCTTTTACAAATGAAAATAAAAATTAATGGGTGGACAAAGAGAAAAATAGAAATGATTTTTGTCGTGTGTATAGAAGACAATGTTCAAACAAGGAGAGAAGTTAAAGAATCAAGAACAAGAGGAAAACAATGATGCACACATTCTCTTTATCTTTTCTCTTCTTTAACTGCTTTCTCCTACAATACCAAATTTGAGATGGGTCACCAATGCTTCGATATTAAGATCAAACCTAACTTTACTGTCCTGCCACAACTACCAGTCTTAGATACCTAAAATGTTTGAACTACTATAGTATACATTCTTCACTCATAATCTAATGTCTGACTTATATATGTATCAGAGTTCGTATTTAAGTGCACCATCGTTATAGTTTCTGAAAATTTAAACACTTGTCGCTCTTTCTACTTTGCAAAACATCATTTCACTTGATATTTAATGTTAATAAAAAAAATTAAAATCACATTAAAAAAATAATAAATTAAAATAATGTGTTATTAATTAAGATTACAGTGGTGATACTTATAATGGTTAATATTTATATTTTTAAAATGAGTTTAATTTTTATATATTGATAAAATTTAACAAAATTATCTTATATAATAATTTTTTTTATTGATTATTATGATAAAAACTCTTTATTTTTTTTTATCTTCTTTTTGTTAAATTAAGGTCTCTCGACCAAAAATTATAGACTAATTTTTTGAGACAGTTATATTCATTTAAAAGATAACTTTCGGTCATATATTTTTTATATACACGAAAAAGAAAAAACTCTTTATATATCTCAGCATCTACCATTTATTAAATCTGATGGGATGATTGTGAGGATAATCCATATAGCATGCAATTTTGTGTTTGGAACATCATTAGAGCAGCCACCATTACACTAATATAAACAATATTAGTTTGAACTATTCAAGTGGAACAAGAAACGAATATGTAGCATCTATTTATAAAAACTGTTATCATATATGGTATTTGTAAGTAATAAAATGAGAAGGAAAAGAGTTTTTATAATGTGTTAAGAGAGTGTTTGGACTTTGGGTGTGAAAGAATGTGAGCATTAGCAATATATAAGCAACCATAGTTGCTGGTTGGGTGGTGGGTGAGGTAGGCCTTGAATTTGCGGTAAGTAAAAGGCCTCCAGAGAAGAAAGAGCCAAACTCCAAACTCTCTCTTTATTCCCTTCAAATTCGCTTCGCTGCTTTCCTCTCTGTACTGTACCTCAACGAGGTTTCTCCAACACACACACACACTCTCTCTCTCTCTTCGTGTCTTCTACATTGTCTTCTTCTTTTTCTTCTTCTTCTTCCTCATTACTTCATCCTAAAAGCCTTAAACTTCACAACTGGGGTAGCACTTAATCTTCTCTTACCTTTTCACCTTCATCACATTGCTTTCATCACCAAAACAGCCTCTTTTTTTCCCCTCCTTTTGTTTATCTGTTTGAATAGAGAGACATAAACCAATACATGAAAATCAACACAAATTAAGGTTCTCCTGTCCTGAGATATATAATTCTCTTCTAACTTACACTAACTCACTCAAAAAAGGAGTATTCATTGAAAGAAGGAATAGATAGTGTGACATCAATTCAGAACCTTTGTTTCTGTGAATAGAGGAAGCTACATGAAGTTGTGAGTTGTGCCAACAATGAGAGATGAGAACTCGAAGAAGAGCAAGGTTTGAGAAATGCCAGCTCTCCTTCAAATTCATTTGCATTTGATTTCTGGGATTGGCATTGCTTACCCTGTTTTTCTTGTTCAAGCTTTCTTGGCCAAAAACATTGGTCAAGAAGTGGTTCAATATCAAGAGCAAAACTGAGGATTTTCAGGCTGATGATGTTCTCTGCGAAGGTGACTCATCAATTTCCATCACTTTCATATAATCTACATTCTAGGGCTCTCGGATTGGGAATCTTAACTTTTGTTTCAAAAGCCAAAAGGATATTTTTCCTAGTTCTAGTTCAAATGAATTATCTGTTTTTATTTATTTATTTGTTATTCTTGTCTGTTTCAATGGGTATGCTTCTTGCTGCACAAGATCTGCCCTTTGTTTTTTCCTGCTTCCATGGTTTCTAATTCTACCCTTTTGGTATAAAAATAATTCTGCTTTATTTTGTTTTGTTTGATTCTGTAGGATGGTAGAATGACCGTGAAAAGAGCACAGCTTTGATAACTTTATGGCTTTCCTTTTTCAGGTATTGATGAAGAGTGTAGTAGCAACTACTCAGAGAGGGAGGCATGCACCATTAGGAAAAGCAAATCAGGTTCAGTATCTTCACCTTCATATCTCTTAGGACCACACCATTCCAAATCCCTCACTAGATGAAGATGAAAGGAAATTTAGACGACTTTTTTGCTCCACAATTTCTGAAATCTATTTGTTCTGTCTTCTTATTGTTATTATTTTTTATCTTTCTATTCTTTTGTCTACTACTAATCTCAGATGTTTAATCTCAATTTTGATGCATAGAGAGATCAAGCAGATGGTACTCAGACAGAATACGAAGAGGTAAGAATGAACTTGATGAAGCTCAGGTTACAGATGTGTATAATTATAGGTATGCTTCATGTAGCTGTATGTTGTACTTTACTATACTAGTTGTTATTATTTTAATGAATTTGAAGAATTTTTATTCTATTTTCTTTTCCCCCTTCTGGCTACAGGATCTTTGTTGCCACATGGAATGTAGCAGGGAAGTCACCTCCAACTTATTTGAGTCTTGAAGATTGGCTTCACACCTCTCCACCTGCCGACATCTATGTTCTTGGGTAAATTACTGACTATGAATCTGTTTAGATACAAGTTTATAAGAGTTTTTTTTAGAGCTCCTTTACTAAAAAAAGCTCTAAAAAGTATTTCTGAGTTGTATTTAAACAGATTCTAAATAATGTTCCATCTCCTTCGGTTATCCAAAAGTTCACACACTGAACTATTTTACATTTTCTTGGACTCAGGTTTCAAGAAATTGTACCTCTTAATGCTGGTAATGTTTTGGGAACGGAAGACAATGGCCCTGCAAGAAAATGGCTAGCCCTTATTAGGAGGACCCTGAATAGCCTTCCTGGAACAAGTGGTGGGTGCCACACTCCTTCACCCCTCCCTAATCCTATTGTAGAGCTAGATGCTGATTTTGAGGAATCAATGAGGCAGAAGGCAACCTCCTTCTTTCAAAGGCGGTCCTTCCAATCCTTGAGTCGTAGTATGAGAATGGATAATGACATGTTAATACAACAAGCTTGCCTTGATCGCCGTCTCAGTGTTTGTGATAGAATGATACTAGGTCACAGAACGAGTGACTATGACCCCAATTATCGATGGGGTTCATCAGATGAAGAAAATGGCACTGGTGACTCCCCAATTACAACACATTATTCACCGGTATCTTATGGCGGTGGTTGTTTCTCTATGGAGGACAGTGATAGACAGACAGGACACTCAAGATACTGCTTGGTTGCTAGTAAGCAAATGGTTGGGGTATTTCTAACTGTTTGGGTGAAAAGTGATATAAGAGATGATGTTCACAACATGAAAGTGTCTTGTGTTGGCAGAGGGTTGATGGGATATCTAGGAAACAAGGTACATTTGACATCCTATTTCAATAGCAGAGTTTATAAATGAACTAGGGAAGGAGACAATTTCATTCTCTTGGATTTTCCAGGGATCAATATCAATTAGTATGTCATTGCACCAAACAAGCTTTTGCTTCATTTGTAGTCATTTGACTTCTGGACAAAAGGATGGTGATGAGTTAAGGAGAAATTCAGATGTAATGGAGATTCTCAGGAAAACAAGGTTTCCCCAGGTCCATGACATGGGTGATGAGAATTCTCCTCAGACAATTCTGGAACATGAGTAAGCCTCTTATCTCTACATCTGAGTTATACCATGCATGTGATGCTTGGAGATTGTGAATCTAAATAAAATTCACTACCAAATGCTAACTTGTATCCTAGTTAAGAACTAAACGTTGGTTTAACTGGTGTAGTCGAATAATTTGGCTCGGGGATTTAAATTATCGGATAGCCCTTTCTTACCGTGCAGCCAAAGCTCTTGTAGAGATGCATGATTGGAAAACTTTGTTAGAGAATGACCAGGCATGTTACTAGTACTACTTTGTCCCTTTATATGCAATTCTTATTGATCTTTGTTCCTTTCTCATGTTAGATATACCTGACCATTTGATTTTGATATCTTTTTATTTCAGCTGTGTATTGAGCAGAGGCAAGGTAGAGTCTTTGAAGGATGGAATGAAGGGAAAATATATTTCCCTCCCACATATAAGTATTCAAACAATTCAGACAGATATGCCGGTGATGACAGACGCTCAAAACAAAAGAGAAGAACTCCCGCATGGTAATCTTCTTTCTTGCAAATAACTTCTTGTGTGAATCAATGAAGTGACAAATGTAAATGGAAGGAGAAGTGGGGGGCAAATAAATGTTACTAATGCCAAATGAAATGTCCTAGAGCATTGTTTTAAAATTATATCATTAGTTGTGTAAATGATCAAAATCTCTATGCATGAAGGTGTGATCGTATCTTGTGGTATGGAAGAGGCCTGCACCAATTATCATATGTTCGTGGGGAGTCAAGATTCTCTGATCATAGGCCAGTTTATAGCATATTCTTGGCAGAAGTTGAGTCTATTAGTTGTAACCAAATGAAGAAAAGCTCCGGTTCCAGGATTGAAGTAGAAGAGTTGTTGCCACATTCACATGGTTACGGCTACACTGATTTGAACTACTTTTGATGAATGCCAAATATTTTTAATCCACGAGATCTCCTTCATCATTTGAGGGAATGGAAACAGCTGAGTGTACCAAACAAGGTAATTTACCTCAACAGGAAAATCCAATAAATATTCTATCCTTTGCTTAATTTAGCTTGCAAAAAAACAAATTAAGCTTTGCCATTAATAGTATTTCCAACAGTTTCAAAATTCAATGAAGGCCAAGATTCAATTTGAGCAGGACTTAAAGTTTCTTTGTCTTCAAAATTAGCTAGTTAATTGTTAACTGACCACATAGTTTAGGTCTAGCTATACCTACCTACTTTCACCAAACAAGTATACATTTCTAACCACAAGATCCATTTCAAGGTATAAATACTCGTATGGTTAGTTCTTGGCTATTAATTTGCGCCTGCAGAAACTAATGCAATAAATATTTCAGAGATTTCTTGACAGCAATGGATTTGACCATGTCGTTCTTCCTAATAAAGTTTCTAGTTGAGATGTCATGCAAGCCTTATCCTTATCCCTCACTTGGGCCCCCTCCTCTTTTAGGTAGGCTATACAATGAGGACTGAGGAGTTGCTAGTCACTATGATGAAAGTGACATTCTGTTACCCTCACACTCCCAAAGAAGGTTGTCCTTTGCCCCTCTTTCCTTTTCTCAATTTCTCTGTATTTTTTTCTTTCTACATCTGCTAAACCTTCTCCATACCTCATTGTTGCAGCTGCAGAGTTTGTGGGTTTGCACTAAGGATATTTGGGGCTCACAATCTTATTGGTAGAATAATGGCTATGTATCAATACTAGTGGACACTAGTGATAACGATTTGTGTTCTTTAATCAAGTTATTCATGGTTCAAATCTGATCTTAAATATGAAATAGACGAGTACACGAAACTTGTGTGTACATGCATGGGTCAAAGAAGACAAATAGCATTTCTCAATTCTCATGATGACAAAATGTAACCAAAATTAACACATGCTATATCTTATTGGAAAATGGTTTTACTTCATGTCTATGAGAAAATTAATTTCTTGTCTGTTATTTTTGCAGGATTTGAAGATTGAAACTATGGTGTTTGACTTATTCTTTATCGCAATTACAGAGATAACCAGCAAGTATTTGTACACAGTGTTGACTATCTCAAGTTCTTAACCGTCCTATTATTTTCTTATAGCAGCTTTAATGAGAATCATTGAAGCTAATAAGTAAAATTCACGTTGTTGTTTCAATTTTGTTTTTATGAGTTAGTTGCAACGAAAAGGAAAAAGGACCTACACTAGTTACACTTTGTAGCCTTTTACCAGTAAGTCATTATTTGTACCCAATTCTAAACTTCTTTTTCCTTTTGTTTCATTCTGATTCGGGCATGTTTCTTTGAGCAACATCTATTCGGTTTCGGTCAATGTTCATTCTTAAAGGAATAATTCCAATTCACATAATGCTAACAAGAATAATGTTGTCTAAATAATTTGTTACACCTAAAACAAACGCTTGTGGTCCTTTCTTGAATCGTCTTGTTTAGAATTTTTGGTGATAAATTTCGATATCCGTTAAAGAATGACATAATTGTTTTAGTTGTGTAAAGAGATGTCCGTAGAAAAGTGTACTTTTGCTTGACCTATTGATCCTTTCAGAGAATAAATTGTGACCCCACAATAATGAATGACTCGCGTCTAAGTTGTCAAAATCTAAAATATCGACTATCATCATGGATGCAACTTCCATTAACCTTCTCAACAATAAATTCATGAGTCAGCAAGTGTTTTGTAGGACAAATCCACCAATCAATTTGATTTGATGCCCAATGCAATGCATATACCCTTGTAATGGGATAATTAATACTCCACACATTTCAATAAATATTTATTGCATTTATCTCATATCAATGAAGTTTTTTTTTTTTTTTATTATCAAATTTACAATAATCTGACAATTATACAAGTGTTTAAATATAAGATATTATTTCAATCTTCTATCACTAAACCGACATTAATATTGTTATTAACTTTAAATTTCAAATAAATTTTATTTAATTTTAAGTTTTAAAAAATCTTATTATTTTTATTCTTTAGAATATTGTCTATATTTATATCTATTATCTATAATATATATATAAAGATTATAGTCTAATTTGATGTACATATTCTACCTTTAAATTTTTAAATAATAAAAAATAATATTAAAAAGTAATCATTCTTATAAACATAAAACTCAAACTCAAGATCTTAAAGTTTGAGGATCAAATACAACATGAATTGATCTTTTTATGATTCATTATCAAGGAGTATTCATCGTCGAACATAGAGACAATCTCCTTTGAAGAGATACTAAATAGGTGATCATCCCCTCCCGGCTTGAGTTTTCTGCATTCACAGGAGTCGGTATTCAAACCTTGACCACTTGGTTAAACGATGTGAATCCCTCGCCACTCACGCTTATAAGTAACAAAAAATTCATCTGTGGGTACCTGCGAATAAAATCTGTCACAAATAATAAATGGGTAGTCTAAAGGGATACTCATAGATAATAGATACAAGTATTTTTTTACTCGTTTATAAACGGGACATTGACGGGTACAGTAGTATCCATATTATACCTATTAAATAATCTTACTTAAATATTCATATTCATATTTTTATTTTATATTTTATATTATTTTTAGTATTTCAAAAAACATTAATTACAAGTTCAAAATTTAATATCAATTATTTATCTTTAATATTTCAATATATTTATTTTCAAATATAAGCATAAAGTTATTTATAATGTTTTATTTTAATTTTCAAAACAATTCACAAATATATATGGACATGTGTGAGTATTTATAAAATTTGTAAATACCCGCTGAACAGATATCTACGTGGGTATGAAATGGGTACAAGACAAATTTTTATCTAACGGGGCGGGTACGAGTATCCAATTACCCACCCCCACGGCTCATTGCCATCTCTACTCACCCCAAGTTGGAAACACTAATTAATTTAATAAATATTAATAATTTTTAAACACTTTTATTAAATAAAATATAAAGACACAAAATGTCTCGATTCCACTAGTTATTAATAAAGATAATATGTCTTTTTGGTGTATACATTCTATTGACTATTTTACCCTTAACTTTCAAACATTTTTTCTCCTCCGTATATTTTTTATTTAGATTTTATTTTTTATTCATAAATTTATTTTTTAATATCTCACTTTTTAAAATAATTATTCAAAATTTCTCACACCCACTAATTATTAACTACTTAGGCATATTTAACATCAATTATTTTATTTATTTATTTTTACATAAAATACACGAAGACATGAAATGTCTTTTTTACACGAATTGTTAGAATTATAATTTACCCTTATATATTGTGCAAAAATATTTTAATGATTTTTCTTCCATAAGGGAGTTGTTGAGGAATTCTTTTTAACTTTTTATTCTATTTGGTTTTTAATCTGTGGGTACCTGCGAATAAAATCTGTCACAAATAATAAATGGGTAGTCTAAAGGGATACTCATAGATAATAGATACAAGTATTTTTTTACTCGTTTATAAACGGGACATTGACGGGTACAGTAGTATCCATATTATACCTATTAAATAATCTTACTTAAATATTCATATTCATATTTTTATTTTATATTTTATATTATTTTTAGTATTTCAAAAAACATTAATTACAAGTTCAAAATTTAATATCAATTATTTATCTTTAATATTTCAATATATTTATTTTCAAATATAAGCATAAAGTTATTTATAATGTTTTATTTTAATTTTCAAAACAATTCACAAATATATATGGACATGTGTGAGTATTTATAAAATTTGTAAATACCCGCTGAACAGATATCTACGTGGGTATGAAATGGGTACAAGACAAATTTTTATCTAACGGGGCGGGTACGAGTATCCAATTACCCACCCCCACGGCTCATTGCCATCTCTACTCACCCCAAGTTGGAAACACTAATTAATTTAATAAATATTAATAATTTTTAAACACTTTTATTAAATAAAATATAAAGACACAAAATGTCTCGATTCCACTAGTTATTAATAAAGATAATATGTCTTTTTGGTGTATACATTCTATTGACTATTTTACCCTTAACTTTCAAACATTTTTTCTCCTCCGTATATTTTTTATTTAGATTTTATTTTTTATTCATAAATTTATTTTTTAATATCTCACTTTTTAAAATAATTATTCAAAATTTCTCACACCCACTAATTATTAACTACTTAGGCATATTTAACATCAATTATTTTATTTATTTATTTTTACATAAAATACACGAAGACATGAAATGTCTTTTTTACACGAATTGTTAGAATTATAATTTACCCTTATATATTGTGCAAAAATATTTTAATGATTTTTCTTCCATAAGGGAGTTGTTGAGGAATTCTTTTTAACTTTTTATTCTATTTGGTTTTTATTTATTATAATTTTTATGAATTAAATTTTAATATTTTTAAAATAAATTATTAATAATTAAAAACAATCTTGTGTCACAATATAAATTATTTATTATAAATTTAAAATATAATCTCAATCATTTCTTCAAAATTATCATATAAGTTGCTATATTTTTTAAATCACAACATGTGTGATATTTAAATATAATTTGAAAGTTAAAATTAAGTAAAATAGAAAGTCTCATTTAACTATTAACATTTACATTAATAATTTATTCTCTTTTAAAAGTGCACAAATAGTTGTATATTATATATAAAAAAAAAAAGCATGCGTTACTTAGATGAAATAAATAAGGAAAGTTAGTGTTAATTTGAAAAATTAGAGGAAAGGTGTGTGTCATTTAATTTTTTTTAAGGAAGGTGGGTGCAATTTTCACTATTATTTTCATATTTAAATTAAATTAAATATTATTTTTATATTGATTTGATTCATTAAAAATTAATAAAGTATTTTTAATATATACAATTAAATAATTATATATAAAATTATTCACTCTACATATTAGATGACTTCAAATGCTAGTTACATACATTCATTCTTATCAAACGAAGTAAAAGTATTAACCTCGGCCTCATCTTATGACTGTTGACAAATTCTTAAGAAAAATAAATAAATGTTTTTTTTTTATATAATTTATAACAATATATAAAATCTATACAATATTTTCGTGTATACATTATGTTATGTCTTTTTTATCTATTTATCAAATTGTCTTTTATATCTTCTTTTATCGGTAAAGGATAATTTAGTAACTTTTATTTATTATATTAATTTAATAATTAATTAATATTAAATTATTCCACAACTGTCTCCAACTGTTCATTAACCTCCTCTAGATACACTACGTAAAAGAAAAATCTTTACAACACATATGAGACAACGTAATTTTTCACATTAATAAAACTACCAAAACAAAACAAAAATCATTTTTTTACACAAAATTATAACTATTTCTTAATTTAACTTAAATAAAATATATATAAAGACACACTACTAGCATATTTAGATTCATTATTGTGAGAATAAGACTGAACCAATCAATAACTAATTTCTGTCGAAAAATTTGACTAATCATCTTTAGTGAAGTCTTCCTTTTCAACCATTTTTTTTTCATGTGCAAAATTTGAATATGAGAAGTTACTTAAGGTAGGGCAAGCCAACATATTTTTAGGCCTAAAATAAACCTTAAAATGAGGCCCTTTTAAAATTAATGATAATATATTTTAATTAAAAAAATTAAAAATATTTCAATAAAAATATTTTTTTACTGAAAGCTTCTTTCAAGTTTTTAAAGATGCAAAATTGTTTATTAAATTATTATAATCAAAAAATTTATCATTTTTTTTCAAAAGATATTAAAGTTAATCCATTTAATCTTTGTTGAGATATTGTTGATCTTAAATAAAAAAATTAGAATGGATAGAATCATAAAAATAAGAACAATTAAAATGAAAAAAATCAATAAAAATTGTATAAATACAATGTTAAAAAATAAAATCCAATAAAAGGAAAACATACCAAATTTAGTAGTAGGAATAGTATACTAGGTATTAAGAACAATATCTCAGTTAAGTGTTTTAACTTTTAAACACCGCAAAATATAAAAAAAAAAATCTCATTTTAATGATAGTGAATGTTGCAAACAACCAAACATTAAAAAAAAATAATAAGAAAGAGTGAAAGATGACACTTAATAATAAGAAGAAAAGAAAAGAAAAATATGAAACCTTGGGTTGAATTACTTTTACCCTCTAAAAAATAATTAACTAATACAAACTCAAATAATTGACAACAAAATAATTGAATTGTGAAAGAGAAGAGATGAAATTGATGAGTGATTTGAGAATTAAGAATTTAAGATATAACGTACGTGAAAATATTATGAAAAGTTTGAAAGAATAAAAAAAAATAAAAAATACAAAAGGTTTGAACTAATTTTTAATTATAATTAATATATTTTTAAAAAATTATTAGAATGATCACAAAAGTAATTAATACATTAATATATTCGAATAATAGAAATTTTAATGACAATTAATGCCTTTAAAAGAGAAATGATGACATGATATCTATTATCCTATCACAAGGAGATATATTTATTAATTTAAATTAATAAATAATTTTAATTAAAAAGTTAATATATAAATTGTGACACTTTAATTTTTTTAAGGAGTCTAAAGAAAAGGTCTTAAGAACCTTATGTTTAAGTCGACTCTAACTTAAGAGAATCGAATTCAGTATCTTTTAAATTAACAACTTGTTAACAGAATAACTTATTTTTAATACAAGTCTCATAAATATATTTAATAATTTATGTTAAATTACAATTTTTAATATCTTTATTTTTATAGTTTATATTATTTTAATTTGATATTGATTCTAGATGTAAATTTGTTATTATTAGTAGACATTGTTATATTTTATTAAAATATAAATATAAATATTATATTATATATAATTTAGAATTTTAAGTGTATATTAAATATTAAACATTTATAAACAATATTTTATCTTAATATTTAGTATTACAAATTTATAATATTATATTATTTTATTTTATTTTTATGTTAATAATAATAATAATAATTTTATCAATATGGATCTGATTAATTCATTTATAATTAAATTATTGAATGTTAAACTAATGTTTAAATGATGATACGACTTTAAAAGCATTGTATAGAACAACTACTCCAAAATACTTATTAATGGACTCTTGTTTTTCAGCTAACATTAAAATGATTAATTAGTCGCGGTTACGTCAGAGTGTCAAATCTGCAACTTAGTTTGTGTTCGTCAAATCAACACAGAATGAATACAATACAACACAACACCTTCAACCCACAAAAGATAAACAAAAAGTGTTTTGTCTCGTTACTTTTTTTTTTTTTTCAGTAGAAATTGTCTCACCTTCATTAATTTTGAAATTACTTGAGATTTGAGAATGAGATTACTGGTCAAAATAAGTGCACAATTTTAATGTAGTGAAATGCTAGAAAATATACCTCTCCACTGTACTCATTTGAATACAGTATCTATAATTTATAGACATTCATTAAAAAATAATATTTTAGTATATCCAAGTTAAATGTTTATTATATATAATTAATTTTTTAAAAATAAATATAAAAAATTATATTTTAGATTTTTGATAAATAATTTATATTGTAGTATAAGATTATTTTTATTTATTGATAATTTATTTAAAAATATTAAAATTTAATTCATGAAAAATTATGATAAATAAAAATTAAATTAAATATAAAATCAAAAGGATCTCTAAATTTTTTTTAGTCGAATAATTGTTCCTGTTTTATATATATAATAATCTTTAAACATATATTTCTACTATCGGTAAAGTTTATTAAAAACTGTAAAATTAAGAAAAATAAATTGTTAAATAAAAAATAAAATCTACTGAAATTTACAGTGAACTCCTCTTTTACCATGTTTCAAGCGCGTGCCTATATCTCACTTTTTATACTGAGTGAACTTGCCAGTGATATATACTTTTTTTTTTTTTTTTTTTTAATTTATATATTCTTATATTTCATTTATATTAACAAATAGTCATTTAGTATACAACTAAAAAATTGGAACAAGATATCTATTCTAATTTACTAATTCATATTTTCATGATATAGAATTGACAATATATAATGAATTCATTTAAGTATAGAGCAATGATTATATATATGCATAAAAAGATTCTCACAAATTTTGCATAACCTAATCGTAATTATTTCGTGCCTTTTTTTTCCTCTTCCAATTTACCCCCTACTCATCACTTTTTTTTTTATTTTTTTTTTAACTTTAGGTAATTATAATCACTAATATTCACGTGAAGTCAAACAATATTTATATTTTGTATATAAATTCTGTATCAAAACATAATAATTTATTCTTAACTGTTACCTTTTTTTCTTTTCCCTTTACCCCACCCTCCCTCCTTCGCCTGACCAAAAAAAAAAAAATACACTTTCACTTGCTTCCGTTTCTGTAGTAAGATATTCCTCTAACAACACTTTTGTTACAATAATTTTTAAAATCAGAAGAAAAAAAAGAGATAAGATATGTTAAAATAATTTAAGTCTTTCTGAATGAGATAACATGATTGAGTAAATAGAGGGAAAATAAATAAATATATTTTAGCAAATTGAGGTTAAAATTAACTAGTCTTTCTACAATGTAGCTGTATTGTCAGTGGCATGTATCAGCAAGTGAGAGGAATATCTTACTAATGTGTTGGTTTATTCACATTGGTAGTACATTAGTGTCAATTAACCCTATAAATATAAATCTAAATGAGAAAAGGAGAGAGAACAGAAATTCAACTGCCTCCAAGATTACTGCTTGAAAGTTGAAATTTGCAAGAGCTAATACATTGTTTAGTTGACACTCCTCAATTCAAGCCTATCCACCTTTTAAAAGCGAGGGCTGCTTCTCTTTTCTTTAGTTGGGATTCTGTCTGAAATTTAGGAGCCTTGCCTTTGTGAAGTGTTCTATGATATTTCAAGAACAGCATTCGGTACTTGTACTTGTCAACAAACATATTTCCTTTTTCCATTGTTGCCACAACTTCATTGGCTCGAACGAAGAATCCACCTCTTACAAATGTATACAGCACAGAATCAAGAAGTTCCTGATCAAACTTCATGGAGATAGAAGAAGCAAGAGCTTTCATCTCACCCCACAGCTCTGTCACCTCTTGATAATTCCCTCCAATAGCAGCATACCCAGTGACCATAGAATGGAAAGTTTGCGCATTCGGCGAGTGGCCTAAGCTTCTCATCTTCTTTAGAGCCTTTTCTGCATCTTGCATGAGTCTCTTCTTGCAAAAAAAGTGGATCACATTATTCCAGTCATGAACTCCATAATCCACTCTCTGCCCTTCCTTGATTTCCTGTAACAGCTTGGTCATCAGTCCAGCTTCATCTGTCTCGGCACCACTTTTAGCCATCATGCCAGAGTTTTGTTGAGTGACTTTTGGAATTCTAGCTTCTTTCCTCTCTTTGAATAGTTTGAGTGCTCCATGTGTGTCTTGCTGGAGCACCCTCGATTGGATCATTGCCTCATAAGAGCTTGAGTCAAGCTGGATACCGGCTATCCTAGCATCTCTCAGAAGTGACGTCACATCTGTGGTCCTATTTGCTCGGCAATATGCTTTCAAAAGTGAGGAGTATACGGATGAACCAGTTCTAACTCCGGCTAGACGCATCTCATCAAGGAGATCGTGTGCTTGATCCAGCCATCCAAGTGAAATGCAAGCATTAATAACATGAACCAAGGCTGAGTTGTCATTGGAAAACGGAGAATCGTCTCTTTCTGCCTTCAGAAGAAACACAGCTAAATCCTTGGTCTTGCCAGCTTCTAGAAAAGCTTTAACTAATTTCACATAAATTGTTTCAGTTGGCTGCAGTATACCATGTTTGGTGGTAATCAAGTCCACCTGCATCTGCAACTTAGCTAATAAAGAACCAAGTACAGCATTTGACACTGCTTCAAGCTTTGAGAAATTTCTATCTTTAGAGAACTCCTCGTAAGATATTACAGCATTTGTAATTGGCTTGTTTTCTAAACTATCAAAATCATTACTGTTGTTCAAACTATGCACAGAAGCCCGTCCAGGAGAATGGTTATGATCAATTTTAGCAGCAGTTATCATAAATTTGGTAGCTGCAAGAGAATTTCTTGCTTCCTTTGCTTTCCTAAGCATTTCCAAAACCATGTTTGCTGCAGAATCTAGATCCCCAAATTTCAAATGGCATGTCAGCAAACAATTATAAAACTGTCGGAATTGTAAATCAGTTAGATTTGGAGCTTCCTCTATGTGCCTCTGCAGCTTCTTGAGCTCTTCCCTTCGTCCATTTCTCTCATATATACGTGCCATTATTATCAGTAAGTTTGCATCAACTTTGACACCAATTCGAGGCATCATATCAAGAAGCTCCTCAGCCTTCCTAGATGTCTCAAATAAGAGGCACCCTGCCAACGCAATGTTAAAAGAAGCAGTGTTTGGTTTCATGGCTATCATAGGTGCATTGCTCTTTTTACGTGGATCTACTCTATTGTTCTGGAACAAATAACCTATTTCAAGAATCAACTCAGCAGCAAGGTAGCTTCCCTCTGCTGTTTGTGACATGTGTGCCAAAACTGCTGACCAGGCGGTGACCGAGGGAAAATGCTCCATATCTATCATCTTTCTTAAAATGGTGGATGCTGGAACTGGTAATCTTGCTTTTGCAAGGCCAAAGCTAAGGTAGATAAGCACTTCCTTTTCTAACAAGTCTTGCTTACCTTCCTCAATAGCACGTTCTACCAATTCATAAGCTTTTCCTAGCCACTGCACATCATGGCTGTCCACATAACTTGTTATGAGCTTGCTAATGACAGATTTTCTGGGAAATCCCTCCATGTGCATATGCTGCTCCAATAATTTCCATGAATAATCTAATTGATTCACACTAATAGCATCCAGAATTTCCAAACTAACTTTGGCAGGATCTCGAGCCTGGACTAGGATCCTTTCAGTCACACTAGAGAAATATAGTCCCTGAAGAGTATGTTTATTCTCCAATCCCAGTAGAAATGCTTGCGAACTTGAGCTGGCTGAACAAGAGCCAACAGACTTCACAATAGACCGGACATTTTTGCTATTGGAAACTCGGACCGTACCATAATTGCAATTAGCAACCGTGACACATAAAACAAAAGGGATATCAGGTCCTGTTTTGAGCTTTCTTATTGCAAGCATCTTCACCTACCAGCAATTTTGTGAAGATGAATTTCAGCATGAAGTCAATAAAAACCTGCACATTCACAGGGTCCATTGGTAAACAACATGCATAACAAATGACAGTACAAATAAGCCAGTTATAATGCTCAAAAGAGGAATGAACATTGTTAAAACTAAAAGGTTCAACAATAGGAGTCTGGTAAAAACATAGGGAGATCTTGACATACATAAAATTTAATTGAAAATTTCTGCATTGTTTAACTTCTAAGTTAAAACATTTCCAGAAACCAATCTAATTACACTCACCAAAGTGAACCCCTTTACTAGTTTTAACTATGGTTTGGCATCATTCCTTCAGTACTCTTCACAAACTATAAACAATGGTTGCAAAGATAAAGAAAAAATCTCATAGGAACAAGTTAAAAGATAAAGGGCCAAAATTTTTGTGAACCTAACAAGTCCAATTCGTACAAACTACAAAGCTTTCATACAATAGTTGAAGGAATATTAACTATTCCAAAAAATCCGAGAAACCTAATGGGTAGGTAATAAGTGGATAAAAAGAAAGAATTTGTGTCTGACCAGGATAAGAATTGATGCTTGGTTTCATAAACGAAAGCACAAGACAAATACTAATCAGGGCTACGAATAGCTGCTTGCCAAGAACGAGAGACAAGCTCCAATATTGGGTGGAGATAGAAGAGCGTGGGGGAGTCCTTCAATAAGTCCAGACATTATAAATTTATAACTGCTGTTTCATCTATTTCTGATAACTCTTCACCACTGACTTCTGTTTTTGTAGAAGGTGCACCTGCAATCACAATATTATCCATTAATATATACCAATATTGTGATACTTTAGAAATTGAAATTCAGAGTGTCACAGTAGTAATTTGAAAGGCATGGCAGACTTTGAATAAAATTCAAATCCAATTTACAAACTTTAATGAAAATCTGTTGTCTAGAAAACATGGCAGACTTTATTGGATATCTAAACAAATTAAACAAGAATATTTCTTTTCCGTAAATTTAACTTCAGCAATGTTGTGATTCAGGAATTGTGTGTATTGTTGTACACATACCAATCTTATTTATAGAGTGAATACAATAAATGATAGAGATACTAATCTCTAATATTATGGAAACTAATCTAATCATATCCCTAATTGATAGTGAGGATAATAACCATAATATATGTATCCACAATATTTGTAATATATTCACAATATCTGTAACACTCCCCCTCAAGCTGGAGCATATATATCATATGCACCAAGCTTGTTACAAATATAATCATCCGAGGTCCTTTAAGCGATTTTGTGAACACATCTGCTAACTGGTCACCGAAGGCAGTTGGAGGCAACGGTTGGAGGCGGCGACCGGAAGCGGCGGTCGGAGGCGGCGACCGGAGACGGTGGTCGGAGTCAGCGACCGAAGGCGGCGACCGGAAGCGACGGTCGAAGTCAGCGACCGGAGGTGGCGACCGGAAGCGGCGGG